TTTTCACAAATATGCAATATACTTTCATACAAAATTTCATATTTTTTAAGATTATATAAAATTAAAAGTAATTATATTTTTTACAACAAATATACAATATCTTTTCGCGCAAAATATCATATTTTAAAAAATCATATAAAAATAAAAGTAACACATAGATATAACTATAATTTTGTATTAATAAAATATTGTTGTCTAGTGTTACTCCATCAACTTGCATTATAAGATTAATTATGAGTTGGGACCACAATATTTAATACAACATTTACAACATAAATTTTCTAACCCCTACCTCACTTCTCAACTGCATAAAATCAAGTTGATAAATTTTCTTTCTATATCTCCATTGTTTTCTCCCTTTTTTATATTTAATTTTTTTCTTCTAATCTTTTCCAATTATATGATATAACCACATAATATCATGTCTCCAATTAGCACAAATGACCTCCACAGGATCTTCACAAACCTCGACAAAGACAACAACGGACTAATCGGCATTCACGAGCTTCACCGTCTCCTCGACACGATCGAAATCCAAGCAAGCCTTAACGAGCTCGAAAAGCTCGTGGGTCACACGAGTCTCGGCTATATCGAGTTCTTGTTCTTTTACGAGATAATGATTGCCAAAGCCAATAAAGATTTAGGAAAAGACGACGATATGGAAGACGATCTTTTGAAGGCGTTTAAGGTTTTCGACACGAATGGAGATGGATTCATATCGTCCGAGGAACTCGAAAGCATGCTCACGAGAATGGGATTGTGGGACAAGCAAAGTGGAGGGGACTGTAAGGAGATGATCGATGCCTACGATGAGAATTCGGATGGAATGTTGGATTTTGAGGAGTGTAAGAATATGATGTTTGCTTCTCAAGATTGTTAAGTGTAGGTACAATGTTTAGTTGTTTACTCGTGGTTACTTTTTCTTTTGTGCTTGATTGTTTGGGAGAAATCAACCAATGGTCCATGCGAGGTTTGAGCCGTCAGATCATAATGCACACACCGATAGATGAAATTTTCTACAAATGAGTTTTTTTTTTTTAAAAAAAAATTAAGAAAAATGATGCACATTCCTTTCTATATATTTTTAAACTTCACATTAGACCGACCTAACCATTAGACCAATATAATTGTTTCAATAAATATTCATACTTTTATTAGAAAATGTCGTGTTAAAAATGAAATGTACACAAATGTTTGTCATTTGGTATTATAAGTAATCATTTTTGTTCAAACAGTACGCAAGTTGACATACCTAGCGATTAGACCATTTCACGCAAAAATTCGTGTTTTTAAATAGTTATATTTTTCTTTTTTATCGTTATTTTCCCATTTTCAGACCAATCGTCGACTCATTAATAGTTGTAATAACGATTAATAATTTAACTACTTTAATTTGCCAATCTAAATATATTTCAGGCTGTGAATGAGAAGTCTAAAACATAAAATAATTAATCCACTCCTCATTTCATCAATTTTTTAATTAATTAATTTTCTAGGTTTGCAGCATGTGGTAGGTATCTGTTTAACAGCTAGGCAAATTACTAAGGCAGCAAATGAGTTAGCTGGAAATTTAAATAAATTACATCAATTTCCCCTCCTCATCAATTAATTGAAAATAATAATAATAATAATAATAATAATAATAATAATAATAATAATAATAATAATAATTGAAATATCTCTTCACTTCCATATCACTTTATTATTATTATAATAATAATAATAATAATAATAATAATAATAATAATAATAATAATAATAATATTTGAAATATCTCTTTCACTTCCATATCACTTGCAAAACACAGATGGGTTATCTCATATAAAGTAGGACTAAACTTCCAGAGAGTCCCTTCGTAATCAGCCCCTGAAGTGAAAGAGACCAAATTTTTGGTAGCCAGTTTTTGAAAGAGACCAAATATTATCCCACAATTAGCTCCAGATCAAGTACAATCCCAAAAATGTCTACACAATCAATAATCTTAAACAAGATCCAGATAACCGACTTCCAAACAATGTGTTCCTAGAAAAGCCCACCTTCCGTAAAACACCGCCACCCTACTTTTTCTGGCCGGGATCTTTACCTGCAGCCGTATTCACCTGCCTTGACAAGTAAGCCTCGTAGATCTCCACCACGACACGTGGATCCTTTTCCACAAGCTCCACATACTCCTCTTGCTTGCTCAGCTTATCCATATTGTCCATGATCAAAGACAAAGCCGCCTCTTGTAAGTCCTTTGCCCCGTGCTGATGGGCAAAAGCGTAATATGGGAGGGAGTTCTCCCAGTTCAGTCTGGATATGAGAAATTTTCCACAATAAGTCTTGAGATGCTTCACCTGGTATTTTTCAGCCAACACCAAGAGGTCGCAGGCCATTTGCTCATCCAGACAAGCTTCCGCCGTGTACAGATAGTTGACGAATGCACGGAGGGCATCGTAAGACACGTCGCTAATCTTGATGGTTCCGCTTAGGCTCTCCTCCATTTCGTTCTCGAGCATGGCCTTGAAAACAGGGGACCGGCTTGACTACATGGAAAATACAAGATTATTGCTGCAGTAGTAACATTAGGCCACATATTAAAAACTTCTGCTAAAGGATGCACTGTACCAGGAAATTCAACCCACTTATTCAAGAAAGAACGAAGCAGCAGCTGGGAAAAAATTTTGGCTATAAATGTACACAAAGTTGTGACACTTCAAGAATGAGCTATGATTTGATATAGTGATGATTGAAAAACTTGCCACAGGGCTTTCAATATAATCCTGAAATGTTCGGTTTTGTTCAGAACTAAAACTACCCTCCTCAAACTTGATATAAAGAGAGACCCTCTTAAGGTTTTTATTCATCTAAACAAATTCAGAATGCGATAGTCAACTAGCATGGTATCCAGAAACTCCACAGAGTACGGAATGTAAGAAAAAATTGTCAATGTAGTTGGTGCTTTTTTGTAGTTCTACAGATCCTTAGGGTTAGACTTTGCAAAAAAACTCTTCAGAATGTCCAAAAAGATTATAGAATTATGCTTGACAAACAAACCATTATGCTTCTTTTTTATGGTAAGTATGCAAGAGATGCTTGTCCAAGAAGCATCATGCTTCTTTTTGTGGTAGTTTAGCACGTCCAGGGTACATCTTTATCACTTCAACTATAAAGTGGATTTTAAGACTTGACAGGAAAATATGCAGATTCCTTATTTTACAACAAGTGTCAAATAGATCTTGCATTAATTGAACCAAAAAAAAAAGTTCTGTTAGCACCACGTTTCCAAACTTCATAGACTATGTTACCCGGACTCTTCTATTTAGGAAGAATACCCGTGTTTGTTGACACTGGTGTGGGTATGAGTGTCGGGTGTGGCATTTTAGCCTAAAATATTCAATATTTCTAAACTATTGACGAGTCGGACGCTCATATCTCCACACCCGATACGCCACCCATATCCGAGTCCAGGTAGCATAGTTCATAGACCACCTAACACAGCTCCATCTACCAATGAGTATTACAGTTAAATAGCACTGAAATGAAACTGGGTTTGGAAGGATTTGAGAACAGAACACGTCAAATTGGGAGAAATCATAAGATTTAATCAGAAATTGGTGAAAAGGGGCACAATACCAGTACAGCACGATGAGCCCTAATTGAAGGCGAACTGCACTGCGAATCGGATGAGTTCGGCGAACCGGATGCCACCAGAACGACGTCAGAGAAACAAGGCGTGTTCGGCCGGATGATCGAATTAGGGCCAACGGGCCCGGGCCCAACGGACAGCAGCCGGAGGAAGTTGACCTTGGACTTTAGGTCTTCGATCTCGCGCTTTAGCTCCTCTTCTGTCTCGCCGGCCTCCTCGTAGCACTCGCGGCACGTGCCGGCGTCACGATCGCCGTCGTAGTCCTCCTTGCACGAGAGGCACTTCATCTTCATCCCCCGGCGGCGGCGCCGCCCCGAGGCGGATCCTTCCTCGGCATCATCTTCTTCCTCTTCCTCGCCTTCTCCGAAATCCGGATCGGAATCCGAATCGGAATTCGAATCTGGCGAGAAGTTTCGCCTCCTATGCTGGTGGCGTTGCATGCTTCCGGCGGCTGATTTTTTGCCCGTTCCTCAGTTTTGTTCTTTGTTTATTAATTTGTTTGTTCTCTGTAATGTTGATAACGGCCTTACGATATTTGCAATGTGGTCGATAGATACCACATATGTTTTGGGTCTTTTTTTTTTTAATTTATTTTTAAGTCTATTTTTTACATTTTATTTATCGAAAATACTAGTGATGCTGATTTCTCATAACTAGTCGGAATAAAAAGACTACTCAAGGAATTCTAGATAGTACAACACACATTATAAGACAACTAAAAAATAAAAAACTCCTCATATGTGAATAACATGTTCCTCCAAAACATGAGATAACAAAACACAACCTAAAAAACAAGAACACCAGCAAACACCCACAGACTAACAAAAAAAAAAAAAAACCTTAAACAGACTAATAAACTAAATCCCTCCTCTACGGCTGCTGAGGAAAACTGCAAGTCGCCACGCCACCAACCACCCAGAGCCGTCACCCCAAAGACTGAGTCTCGGTTCGGAGCACCGAGCCTGAAACTGCAACTAAGGTCTAACAAGGCCCATCTCTCCAAACCGCGGTCGCAAGAGGCTGACCACCCACAGACCAACACGCCAAAATCAACCCCATAGCTCAATCCCACTCCTACAGAAAGTCAAAGTCTTACAACCCCTAAAGCCACCAACCAATACCATTGGTGGAGCCCATCGCCCCATCTCAGGATCGACAGAGAACCAAGGGGTAGATCACCAATGGCTCCAAGCCCGAAACCCTTCGACAGCCACCAGCGAAACTAGCCGACAACCATCATAGTTGAAACACCCACCACCCGCAGAAGTCCACCCCCAACACCAGGGAGACGAAAAAATAGGGGAAAAAAAAGGAACTAACCTTGACACCGACCATCTGTCGGTGCCCAGCCGGAGACCACGCCCAACCCAACCTTCACCTCGTCGCCTCTATAGTCCGAGCGACAAAGAAGGGCAAACATCGAATATCCAACGGCCAAGAGGTCCTCGAAACGACGGCAGGCCGGGAGAAAGCACAGGATGACGATGTTGGATGCGTGGCGGCGCGTTGCGCCTCGCTGAAGAGGAGGTAGAACTGATGGCTAAAGAGAGAGACAGTCGATTTGTGATTAAGTTTTGATAGATTTTTAAAGAGAGAAATTGCTAAGAGATCTAACAGGTTTTTTTTTTTTTTTTTTTTTTTTTTTTTTTGGAGAGGACACTTCCTCATTTATCATGGGTTATATTTGGCACATTGTACAAATGACGTAGCTTTGAGTTAAGTTATGTTTAGTAAACTTAACTGATAAGTTAGCTGATAGTTGATAAGCTAGTTTATAACTTTTAAGTGAATTTCGAGCTTATAGCTTATGACTTATAGACGAAAAGTTAGCTTATATGATAATAGTATTTGATAAAATTAGTTGATAAGCTACATGACATAAAATTTTCAACAACCTTATTTGAAAAGCTATCCAAATAAGCTTATGAGATAAACTCGAGCTTTTTAAAAAAGTCTTTCCTACCAATTGAAACTTATTTTAATACATGAAACTTATAAGCTAACCAATAAGGTATAAGCGATATTATCTGATTACCGGACATAGCCTTATGGTTGGATTATGAGTGGTTTAGTGTGTATATAATCTTATATAGTTGAATATGTTTTCATCATATGATAGACAAAACTTTTATATGGTTTTTTAGTTTTTCTTGGTCCAACTATTGTTTATTTATTTATTTTTTCTATAATTGCTTTTGTTTATACTCAATTTTATTTGTTTGTTAACAACTTGTATTTTATATATTATTATTTTTTCTCATTTACTTTTTTATTAATATGTTCAACCAAATTTAGTTAAGTTTACTTTTCTAAATCTAAATTTACGCACGCTTCAGAATCTTACTTGGCGAAAAAACATGATTCGTAGTTTGGTTTAGATATAATATAATGTTAATCTAAATTAATAATTTTAGGTTCGAACATTCCAAAATATTGAAAAACTAATTTGGTAATTTGTCAAACGGGACAAAACGAATGCGGTCTCACACATGTGAACTGCACCATAAGAGGGTGAGCCGATGTGCACCGTAGTGATGTTCCATCCCAAAACCAATTGGTGATGAGAGGAGTAGTCCACTAGACTTACAAACTAGACTCATTTATCTTATCAAATCAATATATGACGACTCACAAGTGAAATTCCAATACGCCCCCTCACTTATGAGTTCTTCATCACTCCAAGCCTACCATCAAGTTGAGTATATTTAATCATCATAAGCCTACGCCTACAACCAGGCTGGGTATATTCATCGTAAGCTCAAGCCTACAACCAGGCTGGTACATTCATCGTAAGCCCAAGCCTACAACCAAGCCGGGTACTTTTTTTTTTTTTAATCATTGCAGGTCCAAAATTAGGCCCGCTCTGATACAATGTCAAACGGGGCAAAACGAGTGTGATCCCACACATGTGAAGTGCACCATAAGAATGTGAGCCTAGGTGAACCATAGTGAGGTTCCATCCCAAAATCAATTGGTGATTGGAGGAGTATTCCACTAGGTTTATAAACTATACTCACTTACCCTATCAAATCAAGGTGGAACGACTCAGAAATGATATTCCAACATAATTCAATAATAGTTCACGAATATAACTCTTAAATTGTATTAGAAATTTTAGTAATAATATTGGTTGACTAATATAACATTTAGTTTTTTTTGGAAGCTCTCTGTCAGCTCATTAATTTTCCAAATTGACTGGTTCAAGGAAAAGGAAAACATCGCATACCGCTAGCCATCCCAAAGAAACTATAACAATGTATACCGAGAAACTTTTCAAAATTTGAAATAATATTACAAATTTCATTTGTTTTTTATTATTTATTTATAATTGTATAATACTTAGATTATTAGAGAAATTACTGTTGTTCTACCTTTTTTTAATAAATAGTTTGATTTAATCACCTTTGTAGTACACGGGTGTCGTACTAGTCCCCTATATATAATTCCGAATGCATTGAACCTAAGTGGCAGTCTCACACGCTTGAGGACCATACTTGGTGAAAAATATGCTTCGTAGTTTGGTTTGGATAAATAATAATGTTATTCTAAAGTAATAATTTTAGGTTCGGACATTCAAAAAGATTGAAAAACTAACTTGGTAATTCCATAATAGTTTGAATAATATAACCCTTAAATTGTATTGGGACATTTGGTAATAGTATTGGTTGACTAATACAACATTGATTTCTTTTGGAAGTCTCAGCCAACTCATTAATTTCTAAATTGATTGGTTCAGGGAAAAGGAAAACATCGCATACTGCCGACGGTCTCAAAGAAACTAATAACGTTGTATAGCGAGAAGCTTTTCAAAATTTAAAATAATATTACGAATTTCATTTGTATTTTATAATTATTTATAATTGTATACTTTTTAAATCATTATAGAAATTGTTGTTATTCTACCTTTTTTTAATAAATAGTTTTTCTTAATCACCCGTATTGTACACGGGTGTTGTACTAGTTAGTTATATTAGTGGATCATTAGTTGCTTTGACTAGTAGATTGTATTTTTGGTATGTAAATGAGTGGTCGGTAAATAACGGTTGTATAGTTATTTTGAAACTCTTATGTTGTTATGTTATTTTATGAGTTCTCTTCAAACAAAATGCTATAGATGTTAGCATATAGTCGATTATAGTAGCAATGACAAATTAATTGTAATAGCAGATACTAGTGGATTGTATTAGCGGTTTGTAAATATTTGTTTGTTAAATAGTGGTTTGTATTGTCATTATGAAAATTTTGTATTGACACATTATTCTATAAATTATCTCATCTTAAAACCCTCCGACATTGTGAATTTTCTAAATTATCGTATTCGTCACAACGTTAATCAAATAAGTTGTTTATCAAATAAGCTTATTAGCATATTTAAAACCAAAAAGCTAATCAATAGTATATTTGACGGGTCAAACCTCTAAATGAAGTTTAATTCCTTAACATCCGTACGAGCCTAATATGTAAATTAAACGTTATTTATTTTAGTGTTTTGGAAGTTAAAATTACAAAAATGTTAAAAAATATTAATTTTGGCATTTGGTGAAAGCGAGAAAAACAAGATTAGGACGTGCATTTGTTTGGGATTATGAAAAACTCTACAGAATTTTAAGAATCCTATGTATTTAACTTGGACATTTAAGACTTTATAAGTACCGAAATATTCATTTAAGATTCCACCGTATAGTGGTTATGGATGGCTATTTAGCCTGGAGACTCTATCTCGTAATCACTCTTTTTAGGAATATAATCTATCATTTCAAAAAATTTCAAAACTCTTAAAAAGTCGTAAGATATTCAATTTAATTATCACTTAGTTAAGATTTTGTAAGACATATTGAGATTTCACAAATAAAAATCATATACGAAATTTCACATCCAGAAATAAAATTTGCAAAACTTCTCTTAATTCTCGTATATTTTTTAAAAATTTTAAAAATATCACTAAAAATTTAAACGAATGGCAACTCCTAATATTGTTTGGCATAATTTCAAAATCGATCATCTATACTATCCACTTTTTTTTTTTTTTTTTTTTTTTTTTTTTTTTTTTTTTCATTTTCCTCAATATTGACCCTTATAAACCCTAGTCCTATAAATCAACTTTTTTTTTCCTATTTTTGTCCATTTAAAATCTACAACATGGATAAAAAGCCACAATATAGAGGACCAATTTTCAGAAAAATGGACTAAATTTGAGAAAATTTTCAATTTATACGACCAAAATTGAGGACGTGTAATATCAAGGACAAATAGTGGAAAATGGACAATTTAGAGGACCAATTCTATTTTTTTTTTGACACAGTAAATTTTTTTACGTGAAAAAAATAAAAAAACAAGTGTTGGACAAAAAACAAAACAGAAAATGGGAGGTGGACAAGAATCAAAAGCACGTATTTACAAAATACATTTTTCAATGTTTTTATTTGTAAAACGTATTCCCTAAATACGTTTTCTTTGTAAAAAATTTTTGTAAAACGTATTCCCTAAATACGTTTTACAATTAAATTGTAAAGAAAACGTATTTAGTAAATACGTGTTTTTTTTTATTTTGGTCCACTTTTT